TCTCAAGCTTCTGCTAGCCATACGCATACACACACAGAAAATTATAGTTTGCTTTTGCATAAATGATATTGTATAATATGTATTGTTATGCAAATTTAATTTAGCTCCATATTTTGGAGATCTTTCATGTCAGTACACTCAGTCTGCTTAACTAAATACTATAATATTCAGTAATTTGGATGTATCAAAGTTTATTTAACCCCTAAGCTATCAAAGGATATTTAAGTCGATTCCAACTTTTCTCTGTCCAAACAATTAAAAATCCTTGTCATGTCTCTTTGTAAAAATATTCAAGTATTTCTCTAGCATCAATACTACAAGTTGGAATTTCTGAGTAGAAAGGTATGTACATTTAAAATGTAAATAGATACTTTCAAATTGTTCCCTCTTCTAAGGCTTTTTATAACTGTTTTAGAAAAATTAAATCTTTGATCAACTTGAAATTTATTTGGGGTAAAGAATGAGGCAAGATTGACCTTTTTCTTCATATAAATGACTACCCAGTTGTATCAAAACCATTTACTGACTAACACATTTTTCCCCAATGAATTTGAAATGGTACCTTTATCATATATTAAATTTCCATGTATGCCAGAGTTTAGCTTTAGATTATCTATTCTGTTCCACTGATACGTCTATTCCTATATCAGTGCTATGTATTTTAGCTACCTTAGGTGTATAACACATTTTAATATCTGATAGGGCAAGCTCTTCATCGGTACTCTTCTTTTAGGCTTTTCCTGGTATTCAGTGTTTTCTGGGATGATATGTAAATAATTTTTTTAAAAAGGAATAGCATGTAGAAATGTTGTGATGTAAAGAAATATCTATTTCTCTATATTGTTTATTATCACTCCTCCTTCCTTTTAGGTTGTCATATATAAAAATACCTACAGAGAGATTAATTTTATGATTTATGGGCTTGAAGCTAAATATTCATCACAGGAGACAATAATTAAGGGGTGTAAAGAAGTGGAGGAAAAGTCTAAGTGAGGAGAGTAATTATTTTGGGCAATATCTCTAAGCAGGAAGAGAATTTGAGAGCAGCTAATTGCTAAAAGGACAGAGGGAAGAATCCAGGAAAAAAAAAACCCATGAAGCCGCAAACTTGATCAGGATGATTTTAAACCAGAAACTAAGAGATTAAGCATGAATAGTGAGGAAAAAAGGGCTGGGGTGAGAAATCAGCCAGCCAGCCTGCAAGTGCAACAGAGGCCTGCCTCTAAAAACTTCATTGATGTGTTAAACTAAGGTCAAAGGAACTTGAGTCCCAAGATTGTGTCCTGTGGTTTATCTATGTTATACCCAATCTTTCATCATACTGACCTAAACACTTTTTCTATCCTCATCTGCACTCCTAACCTATACGGATATAGATGACCTTTTTGTAGGGTATGTGGCAAGAAGCTGAGAGTGAAAGTCATGATCATAAATAAAGGTCTTTGAAGTGTTAATCTTGCTGTTTTGAGGCCACTCACAGCAAACATTGTGATATATAAAGAGGTCAGGAGTGCCATTTAAAGTGCAGTACATGAAGAAGGTCAGGTCCCTCTATCTGGCTTCCAGCTATCCCTGGTCATAATGACATAACCAAAGGGGCTGCTTCAGCAGCCTCCACTGTAGAAATCTTCCAGAGGTGCCCATCTGGGTGCTTGAAGCAGGATCCTAGTGGGTAGAGACCATAGGATGTCCTCTTGGAGACTGCCAGATGCTCTGGTTGCAGGGCATCCTGGCTGGCAGGCAAAGCAGTTACCGTGACAACCCCCCCCAATCTGTGACTTTTTTTGTATTTTTCCTTTTCCAATAAATACCAAGGTATTCCAGGGACAGGCAACCAGGGCTCTCAGGACAGACTGTCCTCTACTCCAGGAAGGGGGGCAGGGATGGAGGGAGTAGAGATGTGTATATGTTATGAATGATGAGCCATCATCAGTATAAATGCATTTGTGCCCCCATCTGGGTTAAAATGTGTGCCTTTGGTTATGTGTCAATGCATGCAACAGCACATATCATGCAAAGGGGTGGATCACCTGTTACCTGCCCATTTGCTTTCCTGCTCCTCTCTCCCTGGCCCCTGTGCTGGAGAATCACTCTAGCACTTTGCTGAAGGGAAGTGCTGAGTCATGGCTCCGGCTGGGTTTCTGTCTCCTATCCTCCATCTCCATTTTTTCCTCAGTCCACCCCTTTCCCCTGCTGGGCTCTCTCTAAAACTCTGGGCCTTCTTCACAACCTCATCATCAGCTTGGACTCACTTTTCCCACGATTACTCCTGGGCAGTGAGAAGGGGCCTTACTCTGTTTCTGCACTTACTCCCTTCTCGCCCCCGCCCCCCGCCCCCGCCTTCTCAGAAGACTGTTCTGGGCCCTTTACAACTGCCCTCTCCTTGAGAAAACAGGACTCTGATCAAGTTTGACCCAGGAGGCTAATTCTTCCACGTATTCGTGTTGATCCTTCTCCAGTCCCTCCCCTCCTAATCGGATTATGGCAGCGCCTCATGCCTTGGGGCATGGCAAGGAAAGTGAGATTTAACTGGATACTACTCACTGCGGCTTTTTTCTCATTCTAGGTCTCCAAATGCCAGACCACAAGTTCCTGGAGGGGTGTGTGTGTGTGTGTGTGTGTGTGTGACCTGCGCGTGTGTGCAGTAAAGGGAGGATGCTGTGTCCCTGCTTTCAGGGGCAGTATCTAGAGGCCTCCCAAGGGCAGGATGTTTGTGGGTCTCTGTAGGCTCCCAGGTCTCTTTCCCATCCCCTCTAGGTTCCTCTAACTCAGAAACTCCAATCAAGTAGCTAGTCTCCCTAACTAGTTCCAAATAAGGCGGACCAGGATTTTTTTTTTTTCACCAGCCAGAGGCAGGAGAGTGGAGAGGCTGCCCCGCCCTCTCAGTCTGGTTACTATGGCGACAGCCGCGGGGTGACCCAAGTGATCCTCCCTCCCTCCTCCCAAACCAAAAGAGATGACGGCACCGCGCTGACTGCGCCAAATTCCAGCCAATGGGCGGCTGCTCCCGCCTTCCCTTCCGCCAGCTCTTCCCCTCCCCCCGGGAACTCGATTCACAAATCTGGACTCGGGATTTCCGGCTCCAGGCCGGGTAGAAGAGCTCGGGGATGAGGCCAGGGGAGAGTCGAGTCCTGTCCCCCCAGGAGGGCAAGTGGAAGCCGACATCCTTGGGTTCTCGGGCTAGACTTCTGTCACTCGCCGCCAGGATAGATCACACCCTATTCCCAAATTATCCGAAAGACCTAGCTGAGGCCGAGTCCGCAACTCTTTCTGCCTCTACAAGCCACCCCCCACGCCCCGCCCGAGCGCACCCGTCAGCACCACGGACAGCGAACCTGGGCCTTGTCTTTGCCCGCCCCGCCCGGTTCTCTCTGGATCCTCGTGGCCCCGGCGGCCACCAGGGTCCGAGTCGCGAGCGCTTTGCTGAAGCCAGGCTTCCTCTGGCCATGAAACTGAACCGGGCGCTTAGCCATCTGGCTAAGAAAGCAATGGGGACTGGGCAGGGATTTCGGGCTAAATAGCATGTTTTTCTCTTCTTTCAATCCTGGAGAATGGTTTCCGTCTCCCCAGCAGCCTGGGTCCGCGCCTCCTTGGCCACGAAGGGCTAGGCTCTGAGGATGCAGGAGGAATGGGCCTCCCAAGACTGCCCTGTGTGGGCGTGAGACCAAAGCAGCCTGGAAGCGACCCAGTGGGGGGGAGTGGCAGTCGGGCCCCACTTGAGAGTGGTGAACACAGACTTAGGCCTGACTGGACTCTTGACCACATACACGGTGGAGAGAGATTGGGGAGGAAGAGAAAAGCAGCAAAAACGACTAGCTAGTTCTGCCTCCACGGGTCACATCATAGAAGGGGAATAACTGCTGTCCTCACCACTCAGTCCCTAAGTGACCCTGGTATTAATGGGGAGCTAGGTTAGACAAGAGGGAGGCAGGCGGGGGGAGAAGGATTCAGCTTTATCGCTAGGCCTCAGCCCTTGGCTAACTCACTTTACTCTTTACTCTCTGCAAGATGGAAGCCAATGGTGGGGGTGGGGAGAAGTAGCAGTTGTCAGGGACTCGATCTTCCCCACTAGACCCCCTCTCTTGCCCTCTCGCCCTTCTCACGACCGTTCCACTCCCGCTCCCACTTCCTCCCTCCTGGGGCCCAAAGAAAGGCCGGCGCAAAACCATCTGCAGGCGCTTCCAGCGCTTTATAGTTCTCTCCGGGACAGACGGACAGACAGACAGTGCGGCCCGCGCCGTCGGCCCGCATCATTGGCATTGGCACCTTGGACACGGCCCCAGGCCCAACCCAATCCCTGGTACTCTCCCGGGAGGATTCCGGTCCCGCCCCAGCTCAGCACCTCGGACAGTTCCAGGCCCAACCTTCCCCCCTCCCCCCTCCCTCCAAAAACAACCAAATAAATTAAAAGGGGGGGAAACATAAAACCTAAGAGTAAGAAGAATAAGGAAGAGGGGCGCCCCTCTTCCAGGGTAAGAAGAGTTTTCTTTCTCCTCCCACCCGTCCGCGAGGCGCGGCTGCTGGGGTGGTCACCCAGGTTGATTATGCCTCCAAACCTCAGCCTCCTGAATGAAGCCAGCAGCCCCTTCCCCGCCCCCAGGCTCCCGGCATGCAACACGTTGGAAAAGGTGGGGAGAGGCGGTGGGGGTGGAGCGAGGGACCATCCTGGTGCTTGTCTGGGCGCCTGGGGCTGCAGTGTCTCGCCGCACCTCTGTCCATCCAAATTAAAACTAATGTTCCCTTCGCTCTGGGGAGAGGTATGGGGACTCAGTCAAGGGAAGAAATGCGGGTTGACACAAATGGAGGGGGAAGGCAGACAGGAGGGAAGATGGTGACACATGACAGGAGCAGGAGAAAAGAGAAAAGATGAGGAGATAGGGCCACTGGTGCAGGAGGAGAAACGGGGCAATACGGTCCAGTCAGGCAAGGAGTAAGATGGAGATGGAAACGCACACACCCAGGGAACCGAAAATGGAAAAGGAGGGGAGGAAACGGGGATGCAGACAGGAGGAAAGATGAAGACAGAAACGAGGCGAGAAAATGGACAAAACCGAGGGGAGACAGACTTACAGACACGCACAGCACAGAGAAGAGGAAGACCCAGGCAGAAATGGAGAGATGGGGTGCAGGCACACGGAAAGGGTGAGGCTGGGGGTGCCCTTCCCGCGCTCATCCCCTCTCCCCACTCCACGCCCAGCAAATCCAGACGCCTCGGCCTCTGGTGTCCCAGCCTCCACCTTCCCCTGCGGGGCAGGGGCGGCTCCTCCTCGGCCAGGCTGTGTCGCCTAGCGGCGGTAACAGCCGCGGTGGCTTGATGGTCCCGGGGGCGTCCGAGTGTGTGTCGGGGACTGGGGCGGAGGTCAGGCGCGGCCCCTGGGTATCCCTAGCGGTCCAGGTTCATAGTCCAGTGCTTGGCTCCGGCCGCGCAGCTGTCCCTGGCGGCCGAGGAGGCGGCGGGCGCGCCCCCGCTCGGTGGACCCCCGGCGCTGGCGGCGGCCTCGCCCTCATTCTTGAGGTCTTGAAAGACCTGCGTGAAGAAGTGGGGGTCGGCGTTGAGCCGCAGCATCTGCGGGCTGAGCCGCTGGATGAGGCGCAGGCAGCGCTGCCAGAAGCGCTCCTTGTCGGGCTCCACGAGGAAGGGCTTGAGTGGGTAGGAGATCTCGTTGCCCATGTAGGAGTAGGCGAGGTAGAGGCAGGTGAGGAAGGCGGCCTGCAGCTCGGCGGCCGACGCCAGCTCGTCCCCACGCAGCGACTCGCGACACAGCAGGTACACGAACACCAGGTTGGCGGGCGTAATGAAGGCCTGGTCTTGCCAGCCCTGCAGCAGCAAGGAGCGGTCCACGCCGCGGAACCAGCCCACCAGCTCTCCTGGGCTCAGCTCCTTGAGGCGGTAGCAGCGTCGGCACACGAAGTCGCCCAGACAGCGAAGCAGCTCGCCGGTGGACGCCTGCACTATGACCCGTCGCGGCGAGCCGCCAGGCACTGGCGGCGCCGCCTGCGGGGCTGGGGGAGGCGGCGGTGGAGGCTTTCCCCCGCCTGAGCCTGGCGGCTGGGCGGCCGCGCTGGCCCCCGACGGTGGCTCGCAGGTGGCGGCGGCCGCGGGCACGGTGGGCACTGGCACGGCCAGGGGCTTGGCAGCGCCGCCTCCATCCGGGGGGTCCCGGCCCTTGCGGAGAAGGTTCTCGCGGTTGCGTTGCTGGACCAGGGGGTCGGGGCCCGTGGATGCCGGCTTGGGTGTCACCTTCTTGCTGCCTTTCTTCTTCTTGGCGGACGCAGCCACCAGGCGCTTCCAGGTGAGCGCCGAGATGAGCACGGACGGCCGCTTGAGCCGGCTCTCGCCTTTGCCGCCCTTGCCCACTGGCGGCGCCCCGTAGCCCCCCAGCGCCTCGTCCCCCGCGGGCGGCGCCTTCTTTTTCTCCTCGGGCAGCCCGCCGGGCCTCCGGCCTTTGGCCGAGGAGGCGGGGGAAAGAGACAGCACCGTGCCCATCCTGCAGAGCGGGGCCGGCGCCCGGGCTCCGGTGGGAACCGCGGGCGGCGCCGCTGCTGCTGCAGCCCCGGGGGACCCGGCGGTGGGGGGCCTAGCCCCGGCCCGGGCGCGCGGACTGGCGGGGGAAGGTGGCTGCTTGGCTGCTCGGCGGCGGCTGCTCAGAGTCTGAGCTGCGCCAGCTGCAGCGTCAGCCCCACCCCTTGGGCCCCTTCTTTCGCGGCGCCGCTCCCCGCCTCACGCAGCCAATGCTTGCCCGAGCTGCCCTCCTGACCGGCAGCTTGTCTGACCAATAGGATCTCACATGCCAATTTCAAGTCCCGCCCTACCTCCACCCTCCGCCGCAGGTCCTTTCCCTTACACCGAAGGGGTAAAGAGGGAGGAGGTGGTCGTGGTTGCCAGGGGCCCCCTTAGGCTCAGAGCTGAGGAGGGAGAGTGGTTGCTCCCACCTTCTCCAGGTCTTAGGGCCTGGGTCAGCTTGTTTTGATGCACTGGTGGCAGAGAAACTGTGGGAACGACCTTCTGTCGTCCCACCTTTGAGTATGTGTAGGGGGCCCATGTGGGCAGTGAGTGTCATCATCCGGACTCCCCGGTTCCAGATGGGTCGCGCTGCACTGGCTTCTCCGATCTGGTGGGTTTTGAGCCGCTCCTCCCGCCCTCCAGGTCACTATAGAGGGCTGCTGGGCTGGCACATTTTTGCTCTGCCTGTGACGGGTGTTGGCATGGTGGCCTTCCCACAGGTCACAGCCCGCCTCCTTCGGGGTCCTTGCTTGGGGAGGAGGAAGTAGGGGGAGCAAAAAGACCCTCAAATATGTCCCTGAGGCCTTTTTGCCAGCCTGATTCTCTGCAGCTGAGCCTGTGGGGCAGGCCCTGGGCCGTGGTCCCTGGGAAGCTCTTCTTGGTTGGTTGTCCCTACAACACACACTTGGGTGGGTGATGGGTGGTTGATCCCTGGGAAAACACTGGAAATTGGATTAGTTGGTCTCCCCAGTCTTGGACAGTGGTTGGGGCCTCCTGTGTAGAGGGAGGCTGGGAGTGTTGGGCTAACCTCTGGCCCAGACCTGGGTTCCAGTTAAGGTGGGTTTTCCTCATTTAAATGCTTCCTGCAGGTAAGTTCCTAGCTTTCTCTACTCCCAGGGGCAAGCCGTCAGGCTGGGTCCTGCCCACTTCTCTCCGGGTCTATCTGTTCCCTTCGCAGTGCCCACAGGCCCTTTGCTCTGGGTTTTGGACCCTCTGGGCCTTACCTGAACCCAGTTGCTTCCAGGCCTGTTCTATATGCCTTGTAGGACCATATCCACCCTTCTCAGAGCCTGCTTCCTGTGGCTCCCTCAGTATAAGAGTCTTCCAGCTTCTTAAGTGGACCTTGGAGGTGGATGTGGGTTTGATGGGGAGAGAAACCCCTGCCTATAAATACAGTAAAATCCTTAGAATTGCCCCTGGTGTCACCTCCATGTTCCTCACAGACCACCAACACAGCTCCAGAGAACCACTGCTGTCCGGTCGGTATGGGCATGTGTGTGTGTGTGTGTGTGTGTGTGTGTGTGTGTGTGTGTGACTCTAGACAGGCTGTTCCAGAACCCCCTTGGCCTACAGTTCCAGCCCCCAGAGGCACCAGCATTTCTCAGCCATCCTACAGCCCCCACTCACTCACACCCACCCGGAGGCCTACAGTCTTGATTCCCTTCCTTTTACCACCAAAGCCATGCAGACTTGTCCCTCCTCCCTGACTCGGCCTCTATGTGGTATGGCACTTTCTCAACAGGGTACCTCCTGCTCCCTTGGATCTGATCTTTCTTTTCTTGGAGCCCAAGCTGACCTGCCAAACCTCTCATTCTCCTCATAGTTGTAAAAATTGTTCCCTCTTTTCAGCTCCTATAATTGGCTACACTTCATCCTAAAAGGTTTTCTGAGTCAGCCTTTATCTGACACCCAAGGAACAGTTAGCTCACCAGTAGTTAAGGACAGGCCCCACAGAGACTGAGTTGTGCTGGCAGAACACTGGGCACGTGGGTCTGAATGGCACGTGAGTCCTCCCAGCTCTGCTCCCAGGAGTCCTTCATTGACATAGGCCTATTGCTGGGGTCATTTTGGGACAAGATCTTCTATGCAGCACCCATGGTGTCACCACTGTGGACCACCCCTCTAGGCCCAGGTTCTGACCTCCTATTGTCCTCTGATGAGAACCAAGAATTTCGTCCTTTGCTTCAGGGATCCAAAACCACGGGCTTCAGAGGTTCCCACTCCCATTCCTCGCTCTTCACCTTGCCTTGCATCAGACCCACACATACTCCCCTCCTCCTGCTCTGGTTATCCCTCCTGAACCTCTGAGCTCCTAGCACCTGGCAAGAATCCTCCCTTGGACAACCAACCTACCTTCTGTCAAACTCTTGAGATCCTACCTCTTCCCAGAAGCTTTCTTGGACTGATTAGAAGGGACCTAATGCTCTTTCTGACATCAGCCTTTCCAACTTCTTCTCGGCAGCAGCTGATGCCTAACAATTTGGCTAAGCGCTGGGCTCTGGGTCCTCAGCCCAAGATGGATATGAATGAAATTTTAAAGGACAAGAAGACAAACTAATCAGAGATCCATAAAGAGTGACAGCATTGCTGTTATATATAAGCTGGAGGCATTAAAGGGTGAGAGGGAAGGACGTTATGTTTCTACAGGGTGGAGGCCAAGGGGAATAAATGTAATGAAACCAGGACTTCATGGAGGAGGTGGGCTTCACGGAAGGGTGGTGGCTTCTTCACCACATCTGTAAGTGTACTTTTCTGGTTGGATTATGTTTAGGGCCTATATTCTGTGATTTACTTACCTATATTAGTATCTGCACGTTGCTTCTGTCTGTCCAGTTCCCATGTGTTCCTCTGCAGCAGTGCTGGCTGTATCAGACTCCCTTAGATGGCAAAGGCCCTGAGGCCAAGGTCCTTGTCTGTCTCTGTTTCTCACAGGTTACTTAGAGAAGTGCCTGTTCAGATAACTGCTTATTCCTGAAGGCTCTTTAAGGCAAGTACTGGACCGAGGTTTTAGTCCAGGTAGGACTATGGCCTTATTAATGATGATCACACCAATTTTGCCTCACTCACCCAGCTGGGCAGGTGGGCCCCATCTTTCAGGGAATGTTTCAGGGAGTGCTCCTCATCCTCTTCCTCCCTTTTGCCCTTCTATCTCCCTTCTGAGAGGCCATAGTCTAGCAGGCAGGAGACAGGAATCCTAATCTAATGCTTGCCAGTTGTATGACCTTGGGGAAGTCATTTCAGCTCTCAGGGCGTCTGTTTCTTCATATTAAAATGCAGGGATTCCGTGTATTGTTCTTTTATTATCAGACAAAAAATGAATATTAAAAGAATAAGATAACATTTTAGGAATTGGACTAAAAGAGGATTCTTAAAACTTCTTTCAATTCCACAGCTCTGATTCTAAATAAAATCTGTCCCACGAATCTGTTTCACTCTCCAGCTCCAGCCCTGTCTGGTTCTCCTAATCTGCTCTGTCTGATGGGCTCAGGCTTTGTGTGCACAGCATCCGTGTGAGGCCTGCGCCTCTGCAGTTCAGCCCAGGAGACGAAGGGGAGGGGAGCTCACGCTCTCAGCAATGTAAATCTCCCTGGGTCCCTCCAAGCCTTAGATGGGCCACTGAAAGGCGGGGAGGTAAAGGAAAGGAGGATAAGTGGCTGGGGCTCGAGGTATCCCCAGTAAACATCAAGGCTGGAGGTCCCAGAACCCAAAGTCGTTGTACCCTCATGTCTTCTAGGAGCCCCTACAAAGAGGCTAATGATAGCACAGGTTCTTAAAATGGCCAGGACAAAGGCCCATCTGAATGCCCAGACCCTGGTGTGCCCCCGGCTCCCTCACTCATCCAATACCTCCACCCCAGGGTCTCAGCTCCTGAGGCGTACAAAGAGGGAGGGTATGTACCAGCCCAGCCTTCCCTCCCTCTCCTGAGGCCCTTACCCCAGGGAGGAGTGGGTGGGGAGGAGTAAGGCCCTGGGAAGGCAGAGGAGGAGAGCAGAACCCCTCTCCAGGTAATGTAACAGAGTGGGGAGAGGGGGTGAGCAAAGAGATGGGATGAAACTGACAAAGGAGGTGCTGCTAGCTGCAAGGGGGAGACCCCGAATTCTCATGTCTTTCTCATTCCAGCAGGCTCTTTGCTAAAGGACTTAATCAAGGAGCCCCGATATAGGTTTTTTTGAACAAAGAATAGTGTTGGGAACACAGATGAGGAATGTGATGCCCTGGGGTGAGGAGAGAAGACACCAATGCTAGATGCTGGAGCGTCCAGGATGAAGGGGACAGAGAGGACAGGGGTGAGCTGGAGGCTCCTTTACCCTGCCATAAGCTCTGCTTCCTTCCTTGATGGGAGGGGAGTCATTTCTCTCATCTAGGTTACCAATGCCAGCCCTCTCCCATCCTCATCCTGGTCTTCCCTCCCCAGCTCCCTGGCTTCTGCTTTCCCTTCTCTCTGCTGCCCCTTGAGAACAGTTCTCTCTGCCTATTCCTGCCAGCCTTCTCTGGAAGCTTTATTTCTCAGTTCACCTTCTCCTGCCTCCACCAAGCCCCTTTTTTGCCTCCTCCCACTCCCGTCTCCTCCCTGGCCTCGCTGGTGCCCAGCATAATGCTACAGATGTAGGAGCAGATCAAGAAGGGCGGGGGTGGTAGCTGTTGCTTTTCTGGGATATTCTTAGCTTGTCTGGGGGCTGGAGCTGGAATCAGCGTTTCCATCTCAACCAGGCAGGTGGCTGCCAGAAGCTGCCGCTGTGGCTGGGTCTTCATCTAGTTCCAGGTCCCCTACCCTGTCCCTGTCTTGATCCCACTCTGTGAGCACAGACCCTTCAAGAGTCTTGCCTTCCTACCCCTGTGCCCTGGGGCAGGAGGTTTCCTCTGCCCATCAGACCTAGCCCCAGCGAGGAGTGCCAACCCAGCTCCTGGAGACTCTTGGGGAAAGAGAAGAGCCTTGAAGAACTCTAGCTCAGATGCTCCCTAGAGCTGCACATATTCATCTGCCCCCGACAATCTCTACATGGTACTCGGTCCCAGACTCTAGCCACCACCATGAGAGCCTTTCTTATCTCGATTTACAGGAATCACTCAGCGGCCCTGGACTTCTGGGAGCTGCCTCTTGAGAGAGGCTGAGCCCTGGGGGTCCAGTCCTCCTTTGGAACTGAACAAGGGGCTCACTGGCCCAGATTCCTTCAT